AATTCATACGATTTACAGTTATAGGAAAGGCTCCCATTTCCAATATTAAAGCAAACAAAATATTGGAAATACACAACTGCCGGTCATTATCCAAAAAAGACAGTGTCCCAATGCTGACATAGGTGATATGTTTTTCCTGGTTTTATTGACTAATTTTTGCCATTCACAAATTTTACATCACTCCTTACAAAATTTAAAACAGATAGAAGACTTCAAAAAGATTTCCTGTCAGATGTTTGAACCCAGAGTTGTTTTTTTTTTAAAAAAGAAGTAAGTGAAAGGTCCCTAAATCTCACAAATGAACATTACTGCATTACTAAGAAATCTCTATTGTGGAATATTATATGCCACAGGCCAAGTCAACCCAAACAAAACTGTAGCTTCTGACCACACTTGTAGAGATAGCTATATCAGTACATTAGGAATCAACTGCAAGCTGTTGAAGATGTGCATACTGTGGAGCATATCTCCTGATCTCAATTCTTTTTTAAAGCTGTACTTTTATCTTTTTCTAAATATGATTAACAAATCCTTGTATTTACATCAATATGTTTTATTCTATTGGACAGTATTGTAAACAGGATCAGGATTTGCAATGTAAAAGAAACAAAATATATTAAAAACAGGACTAAAACAAATGCCCAGTTTGAGAAGGTTCAAGGGATTTGTTTTCTTTTAAAATCATTAAGCAGTATCAGTCATACGCAGTTCTAATAAAATCTTTGTATTATCACATTAAAAGTTTTTGAAATTTGCAGTGTCTTAAATTAAATTTACCAATTTATAATTTACATATCCACATCCAACGACAAATTCTGCAAAATAAAACCAAAAGAACTGTGGATGCTGTAAATCAGGAACAAAAGCAAAAACAAAGTTACTGGAAAAGCTCAGCAGGTCTGGCAGCATCTGTGAAGGAGAAAACAGTTAACGGTTCGGGTCTGGTGACCCTTCCTCAGATGAATTCTGCAAACTTTTCATTGGTGTATGCTGAACTAAATGCAAATCCTGAAGTTGTGTGTAGGTTATACTTGTAACTCGAAGAAGAAAGGAGGTATTTGAGATGTTTACTGTCATGGGAAATTCTTTTTCCTCTTATGGTGGAATTCTTAAACTATGAGGGTATTTCACTTTCCTGTCAAAAACTGTCAAAATTAGTAAAGTGCAAAAACATTTAGTGCAGTGGACTGAATTAATGGAGATCCCCAACCTCCCCCTCAACTGTGTATAAAAATTTCCACAGCATTACTTGAAGTGGGTGGTAGGGAAGTTCTGTTGCTTGACCAATATTTATCCTTCAATATTACTATAAAATTAAATCAATGGCAAATGTGGAACATAGCTGTATACAAATTACTGAAATGCAGGAAAACACAGCAGCCAGTTATCACACTTAAGGTACTTTATACATTGTGAAATGCTTTGGGAACATCCTGAGAGCACTAAAGGCACTATATAAAATGTCCTTATTTTCCATCAAATGTTTGTGAGATTTGTGTTTCTGGAATTCTACAATTCAGTACATTTGTTTTGAAGTTCTATTCTGTGAAGTGATCAGAAAAATAAAGTTATAGAGAAACAAAATTTATTTTCTTAAAACAGGAGAAAGGCAAACTGGAATCAATAGAACAAAGTTCTAAACATATAATCACTACCTGAATGCACCACTTCAATGTCAATGCATCTTTTGGGGCATTTTCTAGGCTTGGTTTCAACACACCAACGAATAAGAACTAAAATAGAATATGGTTCAACAATAATCTCAGCAAATAGAAGACTGAAAGGGTGTATTAAAATCATATTTGTGCAATTTCTGCAAAAATTAGCCTACAGTATAATATAAGTGCATAGGTGCGAGAGCGAGAGCGAGAGCTGTTTGTAAAACCTGTTAACATTGTAAATTTACAATCGCCAGGTATTTTCTTTGGGAAAGAAGAAACACAAATTTCCCACAACACCTCAAAATAGTTCAAAGTTCTTCCTCCAAAATTAATTATTATTTATCTGTTCACAATAAGCTGACTTTTTATGAACACAAATAAAAATGAATAGCAGTTAATGCAGAATATTGCTAAAACCGTGCTTTTCCACAATGTTACGTTCGTGCCAAACAGTGCAGATATTAGTTCTACTTACCATAAACATTGATTGAAACATTAAGGGTAGTGACACTTTCATAGGCTACTAGCGGTTAATAAAGGACCGTTGAATATTATAAGCTAAGCAGTATTACTCTGGAACTTTCATGCCATTCAACAAGAATGTGTTGCTGGATCTGAATGACTGCAGTAACTTTACGTTTTCTGATATGGTCTCAATTGCCTAAATAGAAACTGTAACGCTATACAACATTACCCAAGTACAGGTGCACATTATCAATAAATTCTGCTTTTATCAAAATGCAGAATTAATTTGTTGGCATATGGATATCTAAAAGGGAAGTGCCAAAGACATCAGGACATGAATGACAGTGAAGTTTTTACAGTACAAGCCATTATAGGGTGTAAACTATTTTGCATTTGTTTTCTACTTATAATTGATGGTCTGATACACAGGCAGCTAAAAATACTTTCCCTTATTTATTCTGGTAAAACTGGTAAAGCTCAAAAGAAATAAAAAAGGATTAAAAAAAGAATTATTTGGACATTCTCTTCAGTTAGGTTCACATGACATCTTGGCATTGCATCCCATGAATTGATTTACAAATTTCAATCAAATCTGAGCTTTATTTGCTAAAATTTAATTAAAATAAAATGCCTTTTAGAGTGAAGACCCTCTGCTCAGCACTTAGAAGTTAATAAAAGGTGTATCGTGCTATTAAACTTCCCTTGAAACTATTTGGAGCATATTTATGTATTGAGATTTTAAAACCAGCTTTATATCATGCTAGTGCTGCATCTGCCAAAGTGCAGATCCTCCACAACCAGTGGTATTCATGGGCTGTTGCACTGGTTTTAAAAACTACCCTACATGAATAATATTTCCAGATTTACCTTAGTTTCATTCGTGAACCAAGTTTGCTACCAAAATGAACAGAACAGAGAGGAAGTTGAGAACTAAATATTCATTAGAATAAGGAACAAAATCACAAACTTGTTCAAGAACTGAAAGTTCAAAGCAAGACTCCAGTCATTACTGCAAACATGAACTAGACAGTACTGCTGTGCTTATACTGGGATTTATTTGGGAAAAGCATATTTATACTAAAATAACAAGGTGTAGAGCTGGATGAACACA